ATGTGGTTCATGGCGCTAACCCACTGACTCGCTCCTGTCAGGTGACGGAGGCGAAGGGTTTGGGTTGGCTGCTGGTCGGCATGGTGACGTGTGCGAGCGCCGACTTCTTCGTGGCGAGGCCTCAGCTGATGCTGGTGGACATCACGGAGCTGGGAACCATCAAGCTGCAGCTGGAGGTCACCTGGAAGTACGAACACACACACAAACACACCTGAGACGTACGGACATGTGACACAGAACAGAAACCTGATGTGAAATCAGCAGATGATGGTGGCGAAGGACAGGATGATGTGAAGCTCGGAGGAAGAAAATACAGTAAAAAATTAAGATCTGGAAAACTGTAATGTTCACAAACAGTGAAAACAATATAATAATACTCACATTTTCAGCTAAAAACAGTAAAATAGTGTAACTTGACCACTTGTAAAAATATATGTTTTTTTAGCGTAGAAATTATTAATATTTATTTTGAAAATTTGAGTTTATTTTACAGTCATTGTGTGCATTTACGCATTTTCTGGGATTTTACTAGTGTTCTCTTTTTTTAAAACTGAATTAAATACAGCAAAAAAATACAAATTTTAATATTACATGTTGCAGCTTTGTTTTAAAAAAAGTGATTTTAGTAGATATTATCTTAATTTAACAAAACAGGGAAAATCTGTAAAATAGTAAATATTTGTTTTAAAAATTACAGTTAAAAATTTGTGGGTTTTTTATATACAATAAAAACTTAAAAACTCAACTACTGCAATGTTCAAAAACTGTAAAAATAGCTGCAAATATTTGTAAAATTATATCTTTTTACCACTGTATTTATATGGTAAAACAATGAACTACTATTTGTAAAAAATATGGAAATAAGTGTGACAAACGGAGACTTTGGAAAACTCCCCCCAGAATAGGAAAGTAGGATAAGTGGATGATTTGATGAGGGAATAGTGTCAGGAAATTAAACCTGAAGCATAAAATATGGAAAGTGTCGCCTGAACTTTGGTCTTGACCTCAGATAGCGAAGTCTGGCCTCTTTTTTCTGTCCTCGTATCAAATGACATGAATCCCAGCTGCTCGGAAACCTTCCTCAGAGAAAGGTAGAAAGACGAGAGGTGAAGCATTACTGCTGCAAAAACACAACATCTGCTTGTTTTTCTTGTAAAGCGGCGACTCTGAGCTGTAAAACAAGACCAGGCATCAAACGAAACAAGCAGCAGCGATGTTATTACGGATTCACATCCTGCAGAATCCCTTGTTTTTTTCTTCATCGTCTGCCTCCGTCTCTGCTGCACCTCTAACCCGAGCCAGCTGTTAGCGAGCAGCTGATTGAACGCAGGGCGAGAAAACGTCACACAAAAAAAGGAAAAAGGCGCTCTGCACCACGACGGATCACATTTCAGGCTTTGGAGGAGCCAGGTGGACGACGCTTCATAGATGCTCCCCGGAGAGACGGGAAAGAAATGAGCAGACATGCACGAATAGCAGCTACAAAATGGAAAAAAAACCCTCTCTAAATAAGTCACATGTCACTGATTTGCACCAGTTTCTCTGCTGCGTGTGAACTTTTGCAACCAGAAAATGGAAAAACACCAACCGAGGGCAGCGAGAGGAGACGGAAATGTGTTGGTTGAAAGCTCAGGCTGATGGGAAACACACACAAATGGAAGTGTGCATGCTCTGACAGCCTCCCTCACTGATAGAGGCTCCATAAAGACAAAAACAAATGTCGCTTTAATTTAATTAGTTTGAATGCAACAAGCTCAGGAGTCACACTGATGTGAGCCATGAAAGCACCAATCTAAGGTTTTTCCCACAAAGCTGAGCGCTAAACGAGGGACGAAAAGGAATCTGTCGTGTCTGGAAAACTAGAAAACTCTGACGCTGATAATCCAGAGGAGTGTCTGTAGTACTCTGTGTATTTGTGAGTGTGTACAGTGTGTACAGTGTGTACTCGTGCAGCGCTTCAGTGTCTTTGTGTGTCCTGCAGCCCGTTCGACAGCTCTGAGAAGATGAGGCCGCTGTCCGTCAGCAAGCAGTCGGTGTCGAGCAGGAAGAGCTCAGTGTACAGCTGGACGGCGCCGAGCACGCCGTCCTTCACCGAGAAGTACTTCATAGTGAGTACGAGTACACGTTCAGGAGAAGTACTGCAGGTGTGTGACGCTGTAGCTGAGCAGAGTCGAGGAGTTACTGCAGGCTGGAAACTATAAGAAGATAATTGATGGTTAAAACCTGTTTGTGGAGGTTTTTTGAGTAAAAACTAAAAGAAAAATAGTCAAAATATTTTTAAAAATGTAAATAAAAAAATATTTTCCTTTTATCATGGTGCCATCTTTTAAATCATGAAATAAAAAAAACAATAAAAATAAAAAAGTGTTTAAAAAAATAAGAGAATCTGATGGCAAGAGCTACAAAAAGGATTTTCCAAAAAAAAAAGTAAAAACAAAAAAAAAAACAGTAGAGGTTTTGATGATTTTAAAGCCTGTCGTGTTGGTTTCCCTTCAGTCGATGGTTCGGGAGCTGCAGGATCAGGAGGGTTCGCTGCCGTCGCTGGTGTCCAAGAGTCGCCACCACAGAGGAGGAGTGTCGCTGCTCAGCTACCTGTCCAACCCGTCGCACGTCTCCGTGGCGTCCAGCAACAGCCCTCAAAGCCCCAACACCCCGAGGTAGGCAGCAAAGGAGTGGAGGGATCCAGCTGCAGGGAGGTTACGTTTCATTAATTAACTGTTTTAGTCCTATCAGGAGATTTGGTACCATTAAAAGTGCTGGTTTCAGCTTTTAAAGCAGCTCGTTTTTGGTTTGTTACCTTAAATCAGTTTTTACCTGAAATGTGGACGAGCAGTTAAAACATTTTGTGTTTGGAAAACGTCCAGAACTTCACAAAATACAGAAAAGTTCACCTTGTTTTTATTGTTTACTCATCTTATGACCCCTTAGATAAATCAGAGAAATGCACAGTTTTAGAAAATAGGCTTCTTGAGAAGATCAGCAGCATTTTTTATCCACGTTGGTTCAGTAAAATAATAACTTATGGACATAAAAGTGACACAATCCGGCTTTCTGATGCTTTACGACATCAAATGAGCCACAGAATTGTGAAATTATTTAGAAATAAAGAACTAAACACTCACAGACGTAAACCAAACTGCAGTGAGAGCACACTGGACCAGTTTTTACCTCATTTTTTAAATGTTTTCATAACTTTATTCTTCCCGAAAGTACATTATTTTGCCACACGTTGCACAAAAAACTAAACTACGGAACATTAGAATACATTTCTTATTTATTTCAGAAATGCCACGATATCATAAAGGCACAAAAAAGGAAAATAAATCAGACACAATGGAAATAAAATCAAATAAAATGCAGTGACTTGTGGAAAATCGATAAGATACAGAACGATAGATTACTTAAAAATAAATGAGGTAAAACAAGCAGATATACTGGAAATATTTCTGAAATAGTAAAATTTCTCACACATTGTAAAGAAATATTGCACCAGACAAATGAAATACTGCACATTAAATTGACGTATTGTGCCTAAAAATAAAATATTACACACGATATTTGAACTGATTTTGCACAAACTGTTGAGAAAAGTCACATTACAGATGATATTGAAGCTATTTTTCAGATTTAAGTGTCCTACGTTTCAGCTGAGTCGCTCTAATATCTCAGTTTCTGTGTTTTTTAAACCATATAAATCAGATAAATGGTACATTTTTAATAATTTCCTCAAAAGAAAAGCAACAAAACCTCTAGAAGCTGATCTCTGCTGGTCATATTTTATACTGAACTGCTCTCAGCTTTTGTAAGACACTATTATAAATTAAAACAAAGCATCAACCTTAAGTGTTCAGTAAAAGTCATTAATATAAAGTCAGACATTATGTTTAATTGTGATGATATGTTTAATTTCATAACCAACTCCTCCTCAGCCTCACCAGGGCTCACAGCTACCCGTCCAGCCCCAGCCGAGGCACCAGTTTCGGGGGAAGCCAGACTCGGCTGTCCCTGGGAGAGGAAGACTCTCTGGAGGAGAAGACGAGGGAGGAGGAGGAGGAGAAGGAGGAGGAAGAGGAGGAAGAGGAGGAAGAGGAAGAGTGGGATGAGCCTCCTTCTTCACCAGAGGAGAGTAACGGTGTCTCCCTTCAGGCCTTACAGAGGTGAGCGTCCACACAGGGTTCAGGTTGTTTGGAGACGTGAGCATGTGTAGAACGACTCATACAGACGATGCTGGATGTTCTATCTCCACACTGACGGTACGGTTCTGACAGGTCCAGCACTCCGGACATCCTCAGACAGAACACAGCTGGAGAACTGGACTCTGAGAAGCAAAGTGCAGCTCCGGGGCAGGACTCTGTCGGTGTGCAGGTAAGAAAAAAAATAAAAACCCTGAAGGCACCACGTGTGTCATATAAACAGTTATCTGTTGCACAAGTATGCAGAGAGAGATCCACCAAAGGTCCAGCACGAATCCATCAGAGAGCCACCAAACAGCCACACCCACGTCTGAAAACTGTAAACACAGAGGAACAGTTTCCCAACGTTCATCTTTCTCACACAGCACGTCACAGACGAGTCGCTACAAGACTGTTTCCTGGAACAATCGTCCAAATCTTGACATAGAAACACAATATTTCATCAAAAATCACTTTATTTTTCCTGAATTTTTTAAACAAGACACGTAGAATGAAGCGTTTGCAGCAACTAGATTCTACAAAACAACCAACAAGATAAAATTACAGACAGTTTTAAAATGTGAAATAGGTTGAACTGCAGGCTGTGTTTACTCAGAGTAGGTATAGAAACTAGTTTTTAATGGAAGTAGTCAAGTATTTAGAGTGTGTAAAGCCGCCATGTTTTATTTTCATGTTTGCAAATTAAATATTTAAGTAATGCATCTTTCATTTGTTATGATTTCTGTCTCTCTGAGTTCTCTCCTTCTAGTCGTGGTTGTTCTGTTTTCATGGAGATGCATGTGAGACAATCTGTCACTACAGAGTTCAGGACATTGATCTTCGTCTTCGTTGCAGGACCCTCCAGACCATCAGACGTTCTCCGCCCCGGCGTCGCCCCCTCAGCCCCCGGCCACGTCTCCGTCCTCGCCCACGTCGGCCGCTCCTCTTCCGGGGAGGCCGGCGGCGGCGAGCGGCGCCCAGCGCGGAGCTCAGGCCGTCCGGCTGGGAGCTCTGGTGGCGGAGCTGGAGAAAAGTCTGCAGGACCAGAGCGGCTCTGACAAGGAGCTGAGAGCGCTGGACCACCAGGTGCTGCACCTGGCCACCATACTCAAGGTACCTGTGTGCACTTATGTACTTATGTAGAGTAAAATAAAAAATCTGTTGGAAAAAAAACACATTATGAATGATGTAATATTTTATTTTCAAAGCTTTGAACATTAAAGGCAAATATCTGTAGATAGATGATTTGTTTTAGGTGATTTAAATATTGTGTGTAATATGTAAATACCTCATAAAATCACAGGAAACATTAACTATATGTAATTTTTTGCTATTTTTCAATACCTAACATTTCTTCCACATAATGACAAATATCTGTATAACAGTTGTATTTGTTACCAAGTATAAAACAGTGTAATTATACACTGTGACCTTACTAGATATTGTATTTTAACAAAACATAAAAAATTAGCTGATATTTTACAGATTTTCTATTCCCCCCCTATGCATACTTGCAAATTAATGCATTTTTCTTTCTTTTTTTTACTACTTATTTATAATTTAATAAAACAAGAAAATCTGGAAAATAACAGCTTAAAATGTATATTTTTTATTTACTGTTTTCCAGCCTTAACTTAATATCGTTAAGCTTCTTTTTCAAATAACAGCAAATGTCTTTTAAATAATTACATGTTTGGCTGATCAGAATAGTGTACAGAAAAAAGTACATTAACTGTTGTATTAGAACAAATTACTGTTTGTAAAAGTGCAGATTTTAACAGTTTGGGCTTTTTTTTAAACGTGTAACTTGTAAATTAACAACTCATGAAATTACTGATTTAAAAAAAAGTTCTTATCTGTAATTTAACAAAACAGAACAAATCTGTAAAATGACAGCAAACTGTTGTGCATGTGCTCCAGAACGACCTCTCCATGCTGAGGAGCTCCTCGTCAGAGGAGACTCTGGCCGTGGAGGAAGTCCTCGGCAGCTTCGACTTCCTGTCACATGACTTCAACGGGGACGACGACACTTCCTGTTTGGGCAGCCTGAGACTAAAGGACAGCGGGTGAGCCGGACAGACGGACAAGAAGAGTCCACGCTGTGTTGAAACGTTGTCCAACAGCTCATCTTTCTTTGTTTTCCTCCGTCAGCATCAGTTCGTTCCAGCAGAGCACTCTGAGGAGCCTCGGCCTCCTGTCCCATGACAGCCAATCGGCTTCTGAGGAGGACCTCATCGTCGCCCCGCTGACTTCTGGGAACTGGAGTCTTGACCAGGCTCTGGAGACTCACCTGGACATCTGCTGCATCCTGCTGCAGGTACAGGAGGTTCAGACGCTGCCACATGTCCACGTCAGGTGTTTTGATAGAGCTACGGCTTATCTGGAATCAGACATTCAGGAGGCTGTTAGGAATCTGTTCATGCCCCTCATCAGTCTCACACCTCCGTATCGTCTCCTCAGATGATGAAGAGGACCGACTTCGCCCCGTCGAGGCGGGAGCTGCTGCAGGAAATGGCTCTGCAGGCCGAGGTCCTGGACAGAGTGAGCTGTCTGCTGCTGGAGAAGACCGACGGCATCACGGCCCGAGACGGTCAGCGGAAAATCTGTTCACATACAATCTAAAGAAAAACCCAATTCATCAGATCATTCTTTAATAGCAGCTCTGTCAGTGTTTCTGTGGAGATAAACTTTCATCCTCCTCTCCTGCACCTCCAGTCCTGCCGAAGGCCCAGAGAACCAGAGACGTTCTGCAGTTCTGGGACGAGTGCGTGAGCGACGCCGGCTCCCCTTTCTGTTGCCATGCCGACGGCTTCTCCCGGGCGCTGAAGAAGCGCTACACCCACAAGGTGAAGGCCAAGCAGCCCGGCCAGTCGGAGAAAGGTAGGCAGGAGCAGAGACACCCGGACCACCGCCGGAAACAATCACATGCTTTTTCTGTATTTCTGCATCAGTTTATGGTGCGAGTCTGGACAATTTAAAATACAACAAAGTCTAATCATGTTGAAGTGAAAAAGACAAACTGCAGAATAAACAAGTGGAGTCCCTGTTGGAGCCATTCTTGTGTCTAATAGTGTGATTATAGCGTTTATTTAAAATTAAGTTCTTCTGCTTCTTTAGTGTTTTATTACGTTAAACAAATGTTCTAAATACTAAAATGGACGCATCTCCCCTAAATCTACGCCCATGCATTCAGTCACAAGCAGCGTTTTTTTTTTCTTATTCGTCGGACTGACCTGGAACCTGTCCTTGTTGCTCCTCTGCAGTGTTTTCTCAGCTCCTGCAGCAGGTGCAGGCGTCCTGCCGGGTGCTGCCCAGCTGCCGGCCGGTCTGCAGCCCAGACAGAGTCACCCTCTTCCAGCTGTCGGTGTATCTGAAGCGCTGGAGCTTCCAGGAGCTCGGAGATCACATCTCACGCCTCTCCAAAGAAGGTACGGCCTTCAAGAAAAACACATAAAAGGGTCCATTTAATGCCTTGAGGAGTGTCTCTGATATTTCCAGCTCAGTAAAGGAGGTCAATGGAAGTTCCTTTGTGGAGCCCAAAACAATAAGAAAGTGTCTTAACAGCCTCAAGTACAAACTCGAAGACCAAAGTTTGTCTGTTTGATAACAGAATTTTGGTGCAAAGATGCTCAGATTCCAGCTTCCAGACAACTGTAGGACACTAAACTTACAGTATTTTCTTATATCTGACTCACACATGAGAGGAATCCCCAGAGTTCATGTTCGGAGTTACACGCCGGCGTCTGTTGTGTATTTAAAGCTCTGTAGTCGAACTATAACACCATGCCATTCTTTAAGATCTGAAAACGTTCCAGGAATTCCAGCTTGCTAAAAGGCATCTGGACCATCTGTTAGCGTTACTGCCGAACGGTCACGCCAAACCAACTGGGCGTGGTCTCGTGTCTTTATGAGGACTGCGTTTGGGGTTTAAGACCTCGTGGTGGAGTCACACTGTGGGACAAACCTTCACAAGGCTGTTTGAGGGTTCACATTGTTCTGAAGTTCTGGTTCGGCTTTTAGTCGTGATGCTGAAGGTGCAGTGGGTCAATGAGGGTCCTCACAAAGATAGCAGGACTGTGTGTGTGTGTGTGCAGCTGCAGGGGCCACAGCTCCCAATAAAGGATCAATAAAGTTTCAACGACCGCACGATTCATCCTGACGCCAAAGTATGAACATGAACACGCAGAAGTGCATCCTTCTCTCCTTGTATCCTTCACTTGGCTGCTGTCCACACATGTCTTGTGTCTATTAAACCTCTGAACTACATTTGGTTTGCATAGCGAAGCACTTATAAAAACTGCTAAAACAATGAAAACAGTGTTTCTGGGCTTGGTTCAATACGGGACGCCTGAAATAAATCGAGGTGGTTGGAGTTTACAGCCCAAGCATGACACGCAGAGATAGACGGATTAGATAAAGCTGGGAGCTGCACAAACACACTTCATGTCTCAGTGCATTAAAAAAAACCATCATAGAGTTGTTAATCTGCTGCACAGCCAGAACTCTGTCTTGGTAATAATTTAGTTTATGCAGAAATGTGCACATAAATAAGATCGAAGAGGAGGAAAACAAATAAAAATTCAAAACCTCAGCTTGTTTCCAAAGTCAAAAATCCACTTTGAACTTCCACCTTCTAAGGCAACAAGAATGAAAAGTGCACTAAAGATGGTATTATTTTAATAAAATGCTAAACGGAGCTTATATGGTCTAGCTGGTTCTTGTGTTCTTCATTGTGTTTGCTATTTGTGTTTCAGAGTACATCCTCTCGGCCCTGCGGAGCCCCAAACGGAGGCGGGCTTTAAACAAGCTTCGTGGGCGGAGCCTCTCGGAGCTCCTCCCACTGGGATGCACCCTGCAGACGCTCGCCGCCCTGCAGATCGACTCCAACCACAAAGTCTGCAAAGCTGCCGCCAACTGCATCTGCAGAGCTGCCGGCTGCAAGAACTTCAGGACCAAGGTACGTCCAACCGAAGATTCTGAGGAAACCCTTTTTTCTGGGTGTGTTTCCACTGATGGAACTTATGGGTCTATGTGAAGGTCCAGGTTGTTTTAAAGTCCCTGCTCAGTGGTAAAACTTCCTTAAGGCCAATTTATTCTTTCCGTGACCCCTAATGTCATCTACCCAAGTCCATAAGGTTGTGCACGAACCTCTCTGCAGACATTTGCATGCAGCCTGAAATGTATACATACTGCAAATACACCAGGAAAGTCAATCGCACTTGACATAAATACTTGTTATGAGGAGAGACAGTGCAAGGACATTCTCTGTCATCCACACCTTTTATAATTCATCATTTAAAAGAGCTGCAACTGAAGTAGCCACTGCTGGACTTGCATCGACGGAGCTCAAACACATTAGGAAGTTCTAAAGAAGTCTTCTGCCATGTCTTGACCACTAACTTCCTTGGAAACACTCACATTGGCATAAATAACTGCTATGTCCTGTAAAAGGTGTTCAATATCGTAGGGTGTAGTAGGGTAGTGGGCCTTTCTGCTTAGCAAACCGACACATACCTGTTGGAGTATCAGTAGAACAGCGTGCAGGTGAGAAAGTAAAAGGTGTTTAACCCTGTTTTAGGCCCTGAAGGTAAATGTTCTAATGTCTCACAATCTGTGTTCCCACTTGTTTGTACAACATAAATGCGTGTATTTAATTTTTCTGGTACTCATGGACGGGATCTTAAGGTAAAACCAGGGTGAGCAGGATGTCCGGTTTGGGTTTGAGGTCACAGTTCCAAGTGACGGAGTTTAAGCATCTCAGGATCTTGTTTATGAAGGTCGGGGAAACTGAGTCTGAGATGAACAGAAGGATTGCGGGCAGCATTAGCGGTAAGGCAGGCGTTGCAATACGACGTTG